AACTAGTTTGCATTTTCTGGAATTTTGCATAAATACAGTGTGTACTTTTTTTTGTCTGGCTTCTTTCATTCAGGATAATTTTGAGATTCATCAGTTTTGTTGCATGTATCAATAGTTCACCACTTTTTATTGATTAGTATTCCATTGTATGGATACACACTTTGTTTAAAGATTCACCTGTTCACTCACACTTATTTCCAGTTTGGGGGCTAGTACAAATAAAGCTGCTATGAACATTCATGCACATGTCTTTGTATAAATGCTTTCATGTCTCTTGGTAAATACTTAAGAGTAGCGACGTCATATGGTAAGAAACTGCCAAACAGTTTTTCAACATGACTGTACCAATTTATATTCCTCGCAGTAGTGTGTGAAAGTTCCAGTTGCTCCACTCCCTCACCAGGACTTGCTATGGTCAGTCTTTTTCATTTTAGCCTTTACAGTGGGCTTTGGTTTTAATTTGCAATTCCTTGACAGCTAATGCCTTTTAATCTGCATTAATCTTTCAATGTGCTGTGTGTCAATGATGGTCCTATTCAAATCTTTGTGCCATTTTTAAATTGGGTATTTTTCTCATTATTATTGAGTTGTAAGAGTTCTTTTATATATTGGTATTACAGCTCCTTTGTCTGATTTATGTGTTGTAAATATTTTCTCCCACTTTGTGGCTTGTGTTTTCCTTTTCTAAGTAGCTTTTGAAAGCAATAGTGCTTAATTTCGATAAAGTCCAATTCATGGATTTTTTTTTTTTTTTTTTGGTTGTTAATCTTCACCTGAGGATATTTTTCCATTGATTTTTAGGTCTAGTGGAAGGGAGGGAGAGAAAACATTAATGTGAGAGAGACACATTGATTGGTTGCCTCCACACTTGGTGACTAGCCCTGCAACCTAGGCACATGCCTTTGACCAGGAATCGAACCTACAGCTCTCCAGTCTCGGGTTGAAGCTCTAATTGCAGAGCCAAACAGCCAGGGCCAATTCATTGATTTTTTTTTTTTTTTAATAGATCTTAAATATGATCTACTGAGAAGATCATATGAATCTCCTTTTTTTTTTATCAATATAAAAAATTACACTAATTGAGTTTATAAATGTTAAATCAACCTTGCAGTCCTGGTTATAAACCCGATTAGGTCATGATGTACTATCCATGTGCTATATTGTTGAATTTGATTTGCGAAGATGTAAGAATTTTTATATCTATGTCCGCAAAGGACATTGGTCTGTAGTTTTCTTTTTTAAATATTTTAATCAGGTTTTGGTTTAAAGGTAATGTTGGCCTCATGAAACTAGTTGGGATGTGTTTCCTTCTATTTTCTGAAATAGTTTGTGTCGAGTTGGCAACATTTCTTCCTTAATTGTATGATAGAATTCACCAGTAAAGCCTTTTAGAATCTTAAATTTGTATTGTGGATGGTTTTTAATTACAATTTCAATTACCTTAATAGACACAATTATTCAAATTATTTGAGTGAGTTTTGGTAGCTTGTATCATTTAGAAATTTGTTCATTTCCTCTAAATTGTGGCATTTTCTAGCATAAAATTGTTCATAATATCTTTTTAATGTCTGTAGAATCTACAGTGATGTTCTCTCATTCCTAATATTGATCATTCGTGTCTTTTTTCCTTGATCTTCTGCTTGATGTTTCCAATTTTATTTATTTTTTTTAAAGAATCAGCTTTTTGTTTCATTGATTTTATTGTTTCCATCTTCTACTTCACTGACTTCTGCTATCTTTACAATTTCCTTCTTTCTGCTTATTTTGGGTTCAATTTTCTCATCTTTTCTAGTTTCAGGTGGAAACCTAGGTCTTTTGAGAGCCTTTCTAATTAAAGTGTTTAATACTGTAAATTTTCGTTTAAGAACTTCTTTAGCTATATTGCCACCTCCCTGGGTTTTATGTATATTAGATGAAATATATACAGTCAGTCAAGAAAGAAATATGTGATTGCCTAATCCATAACAAGCACGGTTTGGTATAGGACTAGACTGCATAAAACAAGTGCAACCCATTCTCTCATCAAGCTTAGAAGGTAAGCTGGTACTAAAATAGATGTAAATGATTATCTTCTTGATACTCAGAAAGTACATTAAGTCAGAAAGCATAACAAGTCTTATTTTACATTAACGATAAAGTTATCTTCTGTTTTCATCTGTTCACATGATCTAGCAAAAGCCAAGTTGCTGGGGTTTTTTTTTAAAGTAGCAATTTATAATTCCAATTGCAACATAACTTTATTGTGGAATACATTTATTTCATTTTTAACTGTCTAAATAAACTATATATTTCAATTTATTATAGTAAAGATAAATACGCATTTTTTGTAATTCTAAACTTCAAGACCACCTTTAGAACTATAATCTTTTTTTTATTATTATTTTCTTTATTGATTTTAGAGAGAGAGGGAGAGGGAGAGAGAGAGAAACATCAATGAGAGAAAACATCAACTGGTGCCTCCTGCATGCCCCTCATTGGGGACCTGGCCCACAATCTGGGCATGTGCCCTAACTGGGAATTGAACCAGCAACCTGTTGGTACATGGGTTGATGCTAAACAGAGCCACACCAGCCAGGCTAGAGAATCTTTTTTAAAAAAAAAAAAAAAAAAAGCATTTATTATGTTGCCAAATACTCTCCGAAGATTATTTTTCTTAAAAAATATGAGAAAGGAAACACTCTATCCATTCTGTCTATCCTATCATTGAAGTTGTTTCAAAATACCCAGAATTTAAGAGAAAAAATCTCTGCCCTCTAATTGAATATAACTGCATGACAAATCACTGGTTTCAAGGTCATTTAAATGACCTGTCCAACCAAACACTCATGTTTCCCAACACCACCAGTGGGTTAAATTAAACATCTAAGTATAATTAATTATACTTGTAATTAATTAATTATGGATATAGAAATTTAATTTACATTTAAATCTTTGTTCATCCAGTGGGACAATAAGCAGCACCGCACACCTACACTTTGTCAGGTAAACTGAATCTAGTTCTCTTCTCTTGGTTTACATTTAGGCCACAGGTTCTCAGCCTCAACTGCACATGTGAAATACCTAGGAAGCCTAAAAGTACCGATGCTGGGGTCCCATAGGCAGAGATGTCTCTCTAGAGTCTTTAAAAGTAGGGAGGCTTAAAAGCTCCCCAGGTGATTCAAATGTGCAGACTAGGATCAAGAAGGACCAGCTTAGCCCTGGCCGGTTTGGCTCAGAAGTTGGAGCATCGGCTCACGGTCTGGAGAGACCGGGTTCGGTTCCCACTAAGGGCACGTGCCTGGGTTGCAGCTTGTACCCGGTCTCGGTTGGGGTTGTGTGGGTGGCGACCACTGGATGCATCTCTTTCACATCGATGTTTCTCACTCTCTCTCTCTTCCTCCCTTACTCCCTCTCGCTCTATGAATGCAAAAAGTGTTCTCAGGTGAGGATTAAAAAAAAAAAGGACCAGCCTAGCTTCTCTGGGAAGACAAGTCTCTAATGGCCTTTGGCCAGCCTGCACCACCATCCTTCACAACCTAGTTCCTCTAGAGTTTGACTCAACCTTACTCCTAATCAGCAGCTCAATAATTCCATTTAGATTCCTAGGCTTACCTCTGTTTCCTATCCAGAAAGTCACAGGATAAAATGTCAATCTCTAACTGTATTTTAGCCATTCCTCTCAAGTGCACTTTTAAATGCCATAAAGTAAGTTTGGCTGAAAGAAAATTAACTCAGTATAATTTGATGATATGATTAAATAGTCATTATGGGGTTTGTGTGTGTATTTACTTCTACTTAAAAGAAAGGACTAGCACCACAAGTCACTTGTAATTTTAGAGAATCCACAGTAAAATTATCAATTCCTTAAAGTGTAAAATAAATAGATAAACGAGCCTTCATTATTATCCATCTGATTCTACCACGTGTTAATTTCAAACAGATTTTCAACACTACTTCACATTCTGGGTTCAAAACTGACATCCTCCTTAACTTAAACCATTACATTCCTGAGAGTCTTCAAACAGCTTACTCCATTTTGCCAAATGAGACTGCTTCATTATAATTACCATCTCATCATGTAAACGTGGGAAGGATGACAACTGCACCACAAAGACAGCAGGAAGATTAAGAAGCAAAAGCGTTTTAGTACTGTGGAGAGTGTCTAGAAATTTTCATTTACTTACAGCCCAAGTGTTGCCTCATGGGAACTACGTGAAAAGCAGAGGCAAGAGGGAGCTGCAGGTAGCTGCTGGTCAATACACAGAAACACCAGCAGGTGTGGCGGGGTCCACAAATGCCAAGGAGCTCCGGTAGCTCTCCCCAGTAGCAGCAGAAATGCACATTGCAGGACTCACACCTCTCACTGAGACTGAACTAATGACGTTACCTGCAAACACCTGTAAACCTCATCTCTTTGGAAAACTGAACAATAAAACGTTGCCAACGTGCAGACCCAGGTACTTTAATCCCCGCCAGTGTAGGTTATGTATCCCTCAATGTAATGGATCTGCATGCCGAAACACGTGTGTACGTCTGAGCCGCTGAGCCAACACGTATCCATAAACACTATGAATAATACTTGCGAGAATGTATGGCTTTCTCCTAAGAAACGTTTAAAGTACTTTGCTCAGGTCAAGTCCTTTTCATATCATATCCCAATTTCCTTTACTTTCCTGCGTGTTAACCGCGTGCGAGGAGTTTGGGAGTCTCACCAAAAGTCTGAGCAGATGGGGGGAGGAATGACCGCCCCTTCCCTGTGTCCCGTTAGCCCAAGCTGCCATCCCGAAAGGGGACCGCATCCAAGCTGGCTTCCTGGAGACACACCTGCGCCCTCGCACACCCACCGCAGTCGCGTCACCAGTGCCACAGCCACCTGGGCAAGGACCAAAGTCTGGAAGGAATTCCCTCCGCCTGGGAGCTAGGGAAGACGATGAGAAAGCGGGACCCCGGCGAGTTTTGACAAAAGAAGGGATAGCGGGGGGTCAAGTGAACACAGCCAGGAGGCGTAACAAGCTACTCACCCAGCCCTCGAAGGTGTCCGAGGCGCCGGCGGTGCGCAGCAGCTCGTGGAATTGCAGGGTGCAGTTGGCCACGAAGTGGTCGTAGCCCAGGGGCGTCTCGTGGAAGACAGCCAGCTCGAGGTGGCCGCCGTCGGTGACGTTGGCGCAGAACTCCTCGTTATACGTGGGTTTGTTGGTCTTCTGCTTGGTGCTGGTCTGGCCCACGCGCACCTGGTCCACACTGATCGTCAGGTAGGGATCCAGCAGCTGGTAGCCCTTCTTGAAAAGCGAGTGGCGCAGGGACCAGCGGGTGGGTTGCAGCCCCACGGCCTCGCCAATGCGGACCCTCAAGTAGCCATTGAACTTCATGGTGTCGGACGACATGCCGGCGCCGCTTTCCCGGCCCCGGGGGGCCGCCCTGGCTCGCAGTGGGAGAGCCCGGAGCCCCTGCTCAGGGCAGCCCTCGCGGCAGCCGCTGGAGTGGAGGCAGCTCTCGGGGACAGCAGCGCCCAAGTCCCCCTCGCCGGGCCATTCTGCCTCTCCTGCGGGACCTTCTCCTCCCCTCCTTCCCTGCCTCCCTCCCTCGCGAGGTGGAAAGGAGGGGAGCCCGGCGCTGAGCTCGCCGAGGGCCGAAGGAGCCGCGCCGTCCGTCTCGAGCGCGCGGCGCTTGCCCGGGTCTCGCGCAGGACTCACCCCTCCTCCAGAGCCGGGAGGCTCCTCTCCTCGGAGAGCCAGAGCGACCCGTCCGGTGAGCTCCAGCCCCAGCGTCTCTTGCCCCCGCCTCCTCCTGCCTCTCCTCCGGCGCCCGCCTCCGCGGGCTCACGCTCTCCCCCACTCGGCGAGCTTCAAACCAGGAAGCAGCTGCCGCCGCATCCCCGGCTGGAGCCTCGCGGCGCCAGGCTCCAAGTTCACCGAAACCCTGCGCCCGCTCCCGCGCCTTTCGAACCCGGGGGCGTGGCGCGCGGCCCCGCCAGCCCTGCGGCCGGGCGGGGGCTGGCACACACCGGGGGGAGCCCCGCGCCGGTCCGCTCGCTCGCCGGGCTTTGCGCGCTCCCTGCCGAGCGCGGTCGGACGGGGCGCCGCCGACTAGAGGCTACCCCAGGTCCAGGCCGGGCGGGGAGCTCCTCCGGGCCCGGCGCGAGCAGACACCTGAGGCTTGGGAGACCGGCCCGAGTCGAGCTGGAAGGCGGGGAGGAGAAGGAGGACAAGGGAACCCGAGCGGCGAGGTCGCCCGCGCCCTCCCTCCCACTCTGAAAGGTGGGCTGGTGACTCTGCCTGGCCATCTGGGAGAGGCCCTGGCTGGAGGTGGGCACCCGGCGGGGAGGTTCCTTTTCCTAATCTTTACAGGGATGGCTCATCCCGAGTTCATCTCGGGCCCATCCTGTTTGTGCGCCTTTCCTGCAGAGAGTAATTACACATTTTTTTTTTTTTTTTTTAAATAGGGCAGTAGTAATGATGGAAATCCTGTCCGCCTCCTTCCTCCGAGAGGTGTGCCTAGTTGCACAAAGAGCAGGAAAGGTTGGTTCTGAACAGACATGGCCGAGACGTAGAAAGTCTTCCTTTGCTGGGCTGTTTCTGTCCACCCAGCCCTGCACCCTGCACCGCAAAGGCAGAAGACTGTTCACACGCGCTCTGTCCCTGACACAGGTGCACCGAAGAAATCGCCTCTTCAAGGAAAACCCTAGGTTGTTGATGTGTTTGCGAGTCAGAGTGTTTCTTCCCACTCGTGGCCCCAGCAGTTTTTGTCTACTCTCCTCTGTTGCAAATCTTGCTCTCTGAGGACCAGCCACAACCAGTTTGTCTCCCATAAAGCCTAGGCCATTCTTCAGATGCTCAATTACATTCTGTCTGGCTATTCAGGTTCCCTTGGGAGCAGGTTGGTCTTTCTAGCCCCCCTTCCCCAGTGCCCTATTGGGGACTCTCAAACTGGGGTTCTCACAATTTCAAGCCAGTGAATGGAGCACACTATAGAATGAAAACAAGAACAATGGGCTGGTGGGGGAGGTCCTGTCTTAAAACACCAAGATTTCCTTAAGAGAACAGGGCAGGGATGCAGCACCTCACCCTAATGACACCTTAGCTTTAGGCAGGGCTTGTAAAGCAAGCTCCTAAGCATCCAGGAACCTCCTGTTTGGCTCTTGTGCTCCAGGGGAAGAGGTCAAGGACACCACTTGGGTGAACTCTGTCATCCTCTCCTCCAGAGGGCAAGACTCCAGCTTTAAGAACCACGGAAAGCCTGGCCAGCATTGCTCAGTGGATTGAGCGTCATCCCCTGGACTGAGAGGTCCCAGTTAGATTCCAGGTCAGGGCACATGCCCAGGTTGTGGGCTCAATCCCCAGGCAGGGGTGTACTGGAGGCACCTGATGGATGTTTCTCTCATGTTGATTTTTCTATCTGTATCTCCCTTCCTCTCTCTCTCTCAAAAATAAAAATAAGAAAAACATATTAAAAAAAAAAAAAAAAGAACCACTGAAGGATTTGCTGCTGTTGGGCTTTGGCACCGAAAGAAGACAGTCCCCAAATGGTGGGCAGCTACACAGCTGCCCTGAGGTTGGGATATGAGGGACACAGACCCTCTTTGCCCTGTCAGCACCAGGCATCGGTATGCAGCAGTGACAGAGCAGTGAGCAGGACAGCCATGGTGCCAGCTCCTGGGGCCCATAGTCCCACGGGGAGGAGAAACAACAAATAGACCCCACATGTGGAGGGGGCAGGGAAGGGAAAGCCTCATGTGATGGGACACGGGTCCTGGAGGGGTGGTCAGGGAAGGGCTGCTGAAGAAGCACACGGAAGGCTCAGCTTATTCAGGGTTTCAGAGAGGGACAGTTTGGGGACAGAAAGGTCTCCATCTGCCTGAAGCCAAGAAAGGTTAGGGGAGAGTGGCTGAAACCAGCCTGAAAAGGTGAGTCAGGGTCCAAGACTGACCAGACTGGTAAGACATGGGAAAGTCTTTGGACATTATCTACGGGCAACTGAGAGCCTCTGGAGGCTGTTAGGCAGGGCCACGACAGGATGTGTTTTAAAGTACCTCTCCAGGACTGTGCGAAAATGGATTGGAAGGAGGAAGCATGGGTGTGGGAAGACCAGTGAGGAGGCTGTTGCCAGAGTCCAGAGGAGAGAAGATGGTGACTGAGACTCAGGTGGTGGTGATGGCGCTGAAAATGCGTATATGGGTGTAAGAAGTGTTTGGGAGGTAGAATTGACAGGTCCTGGTGATGCACTGCATGAAGGGAATGAGGAAGAGGAAAGTATCAAGGAAGACTTGCAGGAATCCAGCTTGAGCAACTCTGTGGACCGGGGAGCCATTCGTAATTAGGAAACACCAGAGGAGGAGCAGACTTGGGGAGGGAGATGAAGAGTTCACTTCCAAATATGTCACGTTCGATATATCTTTAATATATGTCAAGTTTGATATATCTTTAATACGTGTAAGTAGAAATCTGAAGTGGGCAATTGGTATGTGGTTGTGAAGCTCACAGGTGCATTCTGAGCTAAAAACGTAAATTGAGGAGCCATCAGGACATGGGTAGCAATGGAAGCTAGAACAGTGGATGAGACCTCTGTTACAGGAAAAACTAGGAAAATTGTAGCACGAGAAAAGGGGGGCTAAGGGAGAGCTCTGCAGAAACTCGAACATTTACAGATGGATGAGAGAGAGGCAAGAGAGTTGAGAAGGAGCAGTCAGAGAGGGGAGAGGGGAGGATGTGGTATCCAGTTATTGTGGAAACCAACCAAAAAGTTTTCAAGCATGAAGGAATTGGTCAGCTAGGTCAAATGATGCTGAGAGATTAAGTAAACAAGGACTACAGAAGCCCATATGGAGATGGCAGTGGACAGGTCCTTAGCCATCTTTAAGCTGTTTCAGTAGAGGGGTTGGGGCTGAAGCCCATTTGGAGTAAGTTAAGGCAAAATAAATAAATAAATAAGAAAGTGGAGAGAGTAGACAATCCTTCAAAAGATTTGGCTGGAATTGGGGGGCGGGGGGAATACCTAGATAAAGGGCTTTTTAGTATGGGTGAGCAATACAAGAGAGAAAAGAGATGATACAGTTTTGAAACTGTAGGAGGGAATGCCAGCCAAGGCACAGGTGAAAAAATGGGTCTTCATTGTAGAAGAAACATCTATGTTTGTGGTTCTCAGCCTGCTGCCCAGAGTTGCCTCCACACAACCAGGGGAAGTGGTCACCAGCAGCCACAACTTCCAGATTGCCAGCTACATGGCCCCAGGGGAATGAATATTTTCTCCATCAGCGTCCTTAAATCAATCTGGGGGAAGATTCTGATTGTCTCTAGGCTGTATCATGGGCCATTAAGTGGCTCCTGGGGGACACTAGGCAGGTAGTAGGCGGCACACAGTTCAAGGTCCCTGTGGAAGGAGACAGTCTGCCAATACAACCTCACCTGGATTACAGCTTTTATTCAGAGCTGGCCCTGACTTTTGAGGAAGGCAGGGGAACAAGAAGTTTCCTCTCTATATACATCCCATCCTGCTTGCTAGCAGCTTGGATATAATGCAATATAGCAACTTGCATACTTGTATTGCCTGTTTTAAAATCTATGGAACAGGTCCTTTTGTAGACTAGAGGTATTTTTTTGTTGTTTTTCCTTATCACTATTACTGTTTCTTATTTTAGTCACACCATAACTTTGGACTTCTCCATATACAATTCCTAGTACAAATTTTAGGTGCTTTTTTGATTGATTAATTGAATCACTGCTACTTTTCTCAAGCTTTAAAAAAAATTATTGATTGATTTGAGAGAGAAAGAAACATCGATATGTTATTCCACTTATTTATGCATGCATTGGTTGATTCTTGTCTGTGCCCTGATGGGGGATCAAACCCACAACCTTGGCATATCGGGACAACACTCTAACCACCTGAACTACTCAACCAGGGCTATTTGTCTCATTTCATTTTTTTTTTAAATCCTCACCTGAGGACATTTTTGCATGTATATTCAGATAGAGCTGGAGGGAGAGAGGGGGGAAGAGAGAGAGAGAGAAACATCTATGTGAGAAGACACATCAAGTGGTTGCCACCCACACGACCCCAACTGGGGCCGGGAACAAACTGCAACTGAGGTACGTGCCCCCAGCAGGAACTGAACCCAAGACTCTCCGGTCCACCAGCCGACACACTAACCACTGATAAAACTGGCCAGGGCTCATTTCCTTTTTTTAAAACATACTTTTATTGATTTTTTAGAAAGAGAAGGGAGGCAGCCCGCAACCCAGGCATGTGCCCTGACAGGGAATCAAACCAGGACCTCTCAATCCATGAGCCGACACTCAGTCCACTGAGCTACACCTGCCGGGCTGTTTTTCTCATTTCTTAACAACATTTTACACAACCTCCATTCCACTTTAAATATAATTCGAGAATTTAGAGACTAACACAGCCAGGTCAAAAATTACCCCATGTCACTGTGAAGTGGAGGGCATTTGATCGCATACATCAAAAGCTTCAAAGTGAAAAATCTGTTCTTTGCCTGAAGAGGTCCAGCAATAGTGAAATGACTAAGTAAATTACAGAATAGCAACTCAAGGAAATAGTACACAGTTGTTAAAATGGCACATGGCAAACAATATAGAAAAAAACAATAGTCAATAACATTTTCAAAATTTAGAGTAAGATATATAAATAGGCAATGCAGTAGGTAAAATATGTGTACCAAAGGATAAAGGATAAAGGATAAAGACTGAAATGTAACACAGGTAAATGAAAGCAGTTCTTAGAGTGCTGGACTTATACACAGATTATAAACATGCTTATCTAGAAGGGCCCTGGAGAGAAAACAATTCACATAAAGCATGGGATACATTGCCAAGCACATGCTGCATGTCAGCTGTTACCTAGGCTGTCATACTATCATTGTAACAAGGCACTTGACTAGCATTATTTCATTTGATCCCCATGAGAACCATTGAGGCAACTGTTATTATTGCTATTTTACAAATAAGGACACTAAGCATCAGAAA